CCCTTTTCAACCGAGGGAGCAGCCTCCAGCTCACAGCCCTGAGCAGGCTGCGTGAGCTCGCCAGAGTTAACATCATTATTTGGATCTCATTGTTGTGGTTTGATGGTAACCTTCTATTTGTGGCAAATGAAATTGACTTTGCCATCTACCAGAGAAATACAAGATTCTCCTTTAGAATAAACTGTGTAAGAATAATAAAAAGTGGGTCAACTTAAGGAAAAGCCAATGGTCACAGCTGACATCCCCTGAGCACTGACCACATGTCAGTCTGGGGGGCGCTACCCATGCTCCCACCCTTAGTCTTCCTGACATCCATCCTTGCAAAGGGAGGCACAGAGGAGCCATGCGGCGAGTCCCTCAATAGGCTTGATTTATTCAATTTAGATGTGGCCTTTTTTTGAGACACCATTCTCTGCTTTCTTTGATGAAAGATGTCCTTGCTTTTGTGAAATGTTGGCAAGAATAAATGTGAAATGTCTTTATTGGACCAAAGTACAGTGTGGGTTTTCTATTTTTAAACTTTTTAGCAGTTTGTCATATTCATCTGGGAATCACCAAGTCACTCCCTCCTAAAGCTCTCTTATCTCAGGATTAGATACTGCAGATCACCTCCTCCTCACCGACACTGACCCCACACAGTGCCTGTGAGCTGTTTCCGTTAGTGTGGGGCTCCAGAGCCCGACCACATGGCGGTGAATCCCAGCTCTGCTGTTTGTGAGCTGTCTGGCCCTGGGTGAGTTTCTGAACCTTGGTGTGCCTGTTTCCTCTTTGGTATAATGGGTATTATCTTGTCTACTTTACAGGGCTATTGTGAGGGTAAATTAGTTAATATATGAACAGGGCACAGAACACACAGTCTGTTCCTCCCTGCTTGTGTGTGGGTTACTGATTATGATCCCTGCTTCCATCACTGCTGTTGTTAATATCATCATCCTTCTCCTCCTTCTCCTCCTCCTCCTCTTCATCAATATGCCTGGGCTCAGAACCTTCTGGAGCCCTGGATGTGGGAACACCCCCAAAATATTGGTTCTGGTTTTTATATTAGGGATCAGCATCCCATGGCAGTGTGGCACAGGGATGGAGCTCCTGGACTCAGAGGCAGCGTGCAACTCCTTCCTCATGCTGACACTTACTAGGGTTGAGACACGGGGCCCCTTAGTGAAACTCTCTTGGCCTCGTTTTCTTCACATGTTCATTTGGGATTATTATAATAATACTTACCTTGTAGTGTTATTGCACGTATTTAAATAGATTAATATCTGTAAAACTTGAACTGAATTGGGCACACAGGAAATGCTAGAAACACATTTTTTTATATGAAATAAATTAGTGAATCCTCTGATGTTCTCCCTCATGAACCTTGCCAGCTAGTTGACCAAGAAACTAGTCTGAATGGGAAGTGAATGAAAGCTGGGGGGCTCTTCGCACATGAATGGCCAAAAGGCTCCCTCTGTCAGGGTCTAACTGGTTTTTCAACACCAGCAAGCAATTAACTCAACTGGAGATCACGTCAGATCCCACAGGTTAAGGCCTGAGTCCCATAAGACCGCCATCACTTCAGACTGAGAAAAACAGCTTTTAGAGGAACACATTTTAATGTATAGACACACACACACAGAGCAATCCACGTGCAAAAGCAACTCTAAAAGTATATTATACTGCAAACTTTGTTTTTCTCTAGGAGGTTTAATTATCTGAAACTTCTCACAATTTATTTTATAATTTTATTTAGTATGGGACTCCTTTAATAAATAATAGAAAACATTTTATACTTTTTTTGTATTAGGAAAACAAATATCCTGATCCAGTTTTCTTTTCCAACTTCAGTTTAAAAATCCTACAGAGGGACCAGCTCCATGGCCGAGTGGTTAAGTTCGCGCACTCCGCTGCGGTGGCCCAGGGTTTGGATCCTGGGCGAGGACATGGCACTGCTTGTCAGGCCATGTTGAGGCAGCGTCCCACATCCTACAACTAGAAGGACTAGTGCAACTAAGATATACAACTGTGTACGGGGCGGGGGGGGGGGGGAGGGGAGGAGATAAAGCAGAAAAAGAAAAAAAATCCTACAGATTTATTTATTTATTTTTAAGATATTTTGCTGCTGCTTCTTTTTTTTGTGAGGAAGATTGGCCCTGAGCTAATATCTGTTGCCAATCTTCCTCTTTTGATTTTCTCCTCAAAGCCCCTGTACATACTTGTATATCCTAGTTATAAGTTCTCCCAGTTCTGTTAGGGATGGCTTGACAGGCGGTGTGTAGGTCTGCGCCCAGGATCCGAACCATTGAACCCTGGCCGCTGAAGCAGAGTGTGCGAACTTAACCATTATGCCACTGGCCTGGCCCCAATTGTACTGATTTAGACAGAACGGCTAATTGCAAGAAATGCAAGTACATGTTTCCACAGAATACACAGCAGAAGAATGGAAATTTACTAAACATGTATCCCAATCTCTTGGAAGCTTGTTAAAACACAGATTCTTGGGCCTGATCCACAGACGTCTGGGTTCAGGATTGAGAATGTGCATTTCTCCTGAGTCATCAGGTGACACCGATGGTGAAGATCCAGGGCTCAAACTCTGAAAATCAGGGTTCTAGGACAGGTGAGGCTGCCTGGGCTCAGGCCCCAGTCCACCACAGGGGAGATTCGCAGGCTCTGAGAGGCAGAGCTAAGGTTTCTCACCCAAATGCCCTGAGCGTGTCTGCAGTGAGCAAAGCAGAGGAATGGCTGACTGGGCTAGTGGCCCAGGCTCTCCACTGCTGAGGAGACCTGTGAAGGCTCTACCCACTGACCAACCCAGTCACCTGCTTCTTCTGCCCAGAACTTATTGCAAAAATACCCACGTCGTTCATCCCTCACCAACTTCAAGAGTTTTCTCCTCTTATTAGGGAGCCCCCTTACTGTGCGGTATAATGTTACATTCCCTACTCCCCTCTCAGGACTCTCGCCCTCTTCTTCCACTCTGTCTGCCACATTCTAACATACTGTAGACCTGAGTATTCATTCTTTTCTGTTTCCGGTCTTTCTTCCATGAATACCGGGTAAGTCCCATGGGTGCAGGGGTCTTTGTCTCTCATATGACCCAATGTCTCCCATACACCCACAGTAAGTCCTAAAACCAAATATTTGCTCATTGATCATTAGTGAGACCAGGGAACAAACACGACATCTCAGCTCCCCTGTATATTTTTACAATTCTGGCTACGCTAAATGTCCCCTTTAACTCTCCTTCCATGTTGGTATTGCACAAATTTTTCAAGAATGAAGAAGAATCTCATTTGGGAGACAAAACTTTGAGAGACCCTTCTAGTCATGTTCTCAACTTAATTCTCTGTCTTCACAGACATCACTGCTACAACTTCTCGGAGGTCTTACTTTTTTTCACCTTCCACTGATGTTTCACCAGAGCTATTTCTGTCAACACCTTTGAATCACTACATAGACATTGCTAGTAGCTTTCTGTAATTTGCATTTGACAATGTTTTTCTGAGATAACATAAATTCTTCATGCAAAACAGTTCCTGCATCCCAAGAGAAATGATAATCACTTCTCAGCAATGAAATCATGAATTTAAGATACTCCCAGTATCTCCAGATTGAGAGCATCCATTGCATACCTGCTCCAACTTTGAGCAGTGCCACTGTCGTACTGTACCAAAATAACATTTTTCTCTTTGTTCTCTTTTTGAGGCTGATGTTAGACTCCTAAAAGGAACTGAATGTATGTCAGGATATCAAATAAGAGATATTAAATGGATCAAAGTTTTGCTCAATGAATGGGACAGAATAATTGATTATACAGATAGGAGAGAGGTTTTCTTTGGTAACCACAGACAGATCTGCTAAAGAAAAATTATTAAGACACTTGTTAAACAGTAAGGCATGGGGAGCCCCGTGGCCAAGTGGTTAAGTTCATGTGCTCCGCTTCCCTGGCCCGGGGTTTCACCGGTTCAGACCCTGGGCATGGATGTTAGCTCAGGTGACAATCTTAAAAAAAAAAAGCAATGAAAAACCTCCCACTAAGGCAGACTTTTACTCAGGACCATTATGATTGGTGTAGAGACAACGGGGTTTCACAGTAGGGGAGAGATATTGGACTCAACTCCAAACTTTTTTTAACAGTTGGGATTTATAGCTAAGGAGGGTGGGGGCGAGTGCATGGAAAATTACTAAGAGAGCAGGGAAACTCATCCTAAACTGACCTAAAAGGTTCTTGCTGAAGGAGGTCAGTGTGATTAGATAGTACCTGTGTGATGCTGATGGATGAGGAAATCTGATGAGGTATCAGTGGCGATCAGATGCTGAGGATGGGAGATTCTCACTAAACCAACTTAGCAGGAGTCTTGCTCCAGGGGACAAGCACCAAGAACTGGGCCTAGTCAAAAAAAGGTTAGGGGAGGCTGCCTAAAGTTCAGTAAAGGAGAGACTCTTTCTCAGATCTCTGTGTGCACTCCTGCTTCAGGGTGGCCCAACATCCTTCCTCTATCTTTCTTGACACGGCACAGTCTGGGGTTCTCTCTGACCAAACATACATAAACTGACAAACTGACTTTAATGCTTCAGAGTGCATTCAGTGGAGCTGAAATAAGACAATGTCCATAAGATAATGTTCCACTAACAGTGGACACATCTGGAATCTGTATGACTGTATGGAATTATGTCTTTATTTGGGTTTGTAGCCTTTGGAAGCATCTGAAATAATATTTTTAGCCTCTGGGCGTATGCTGAGCTTCACAGAGTGTGAAATAACGTCACCAAACAGTTGGATAACGAGCTCCAGAGAGCATCCTGCACAAACATTAGGATCCTTTCAAAGAGGTGGCAATGCCGTTTCCCAACGCCCCTCCCAGCGGCGGGAAAAGGGGAAAGAAGTCTGTTACTCCAAGTCCGTGGATGTGTGGGGACTACATTACCCAGAATGCCCGCAGTCGAGCGGCAGCGTCGCTAACCAATGAGAGCTTAGAACGGAGGTCCCGCGTGTGGCCCATAACGTTGGGGCGGGGCTTCCGGCCTCCCTCAAAGCGGCCATGTTAGCTACTCATGGTTTTGTTCAGCGGCTAAGAGGCGCCGAAGCGCCCGCTCACGGCGGAGGGGACGACGAGGAGGCGCGGGAGGAGGCGCCGTCCCCGCGGCGCAGGCGGCTCTGAGGCTTGGCGACGCCGCCCGGGGCCCCGCGCCAGGCCCGAGCCAGGGAGCGCCGCGCCCGGCGCCTCGTCTCCCGCCGCTCCCGGCGCCGCTCCGCCCCCGAGGCTGATGGCGGCGGCCGCGCGGAGGGAGCCGGCTCAGGTGAGCGCTCGGCTCCGGGCCGCCCCGCCCGCAGCGCAGCCCGAGCTCCAGCCCTCGGGCGGGCGCTGCTCCCGGGCCTGCAGCCCAGGCCCCGGGACCGGGCCGGGGAGGCGCTCGTGGGGCCTGTGGCTGCGGGCGGGGGCCGGGCTGCGGGCGAGGGTCCCGGCGGAGGGACACCTGGTTGGGGGGGCCCACGCTGAGGGAGGTTAAACGGCCGGCCGCGGCCTGGGTTTCAGGGCCAGGGCAGGGTCCGGGGAGGCCTGAGCCGTTGGAAGCCCGCGTGGACGCGGTATTCTGAGGTCTGCCTTTCCCACGTTTTTCGTGGCTGCAGAAGCGCTTGTGGAACCAACACAGCCAGGTGGAGGGCGTCCCTTTTCCTCGCGGCCCTGACCCTCAAACGCATGTCCCTGGATTGTTGTGTCCCGGGACTTAAGTGCCATTCCCGTGCTCCGTCTTGAGTGGAGACCCTGGAGAAACCCCAAACCCGTGCCAGGAGTTACGGAGGTCTTCCCATTTCTGGCAACCAGTGTGAACAGGTGTGGAGGGTTACCCCAGAAAGTGGGAGCAGGGTGTGCACGTACCTGAGTTAACACTCATCTGGTAGTGTTAAGGAAACTACAGGGCTCTTTCCTTTCAAGTGGGGACGGGAGTCAGCTCGCAATGACTGCCTGAGAAGCAGGCTATTTTTTCTGGCGGTAATGAGGTGTTTGGATCAGAGGAGGGAGGTGATAAAGGCTGAAGTCTCCATAGGCTCCGTCTGGCTATAACAGGACTATGGGGAAGAGGAAGATCAGGGTGGAGTCTACTGCGGTAGATCCAGGTGAGGGTTAATGAACCAGAAGTCGTGGTCTAGGAGATGTGATTGGAGTCTGGATGTGTGTTTTAAAAAGTGACAACTGTGTCTTCTGATGTGAACGGTGAGGGAGTGAAACAGGGTTCAGGGATGTTCCTAGGGTTTTTCTTAGCAGCTGTGGGAAAGGAAGCTCCATCAGTTGACATGAGGAAGTTGGTAGTAGGAGTGATATTCAGGGGAGCTGTCAGGAATTTCTGAGATGTTTCACAGAGCACTAAGTGGAGTCATTAAGTGACCAGCTAAACACACAGGTCTGGAAATCTGAGGAGAGTTTGAGAATGGAGACTTCTAAAATGTCATGGCTGCCATGTGGACCAAGGTGAGTGAGCAGTGGATCACATTTAGGAGGAGCAGTCTTCTGGTTACGATGGTAAAGCTATTAGGGTGCCAGGAATAGGGAGAGGTTAGGGACTCACGACTGGATCACTCGCTTGGGTACCTAGGTGATGGCACTGGACTTCACAAACAGAGGTAAGGGAGGTAAGTGGCCATGAAGGGACAGTGTCAGGGACAGGATAGTCTGGCAGGTGGCCAAGGTTTCCAGTGGAAGAGTGAACATGAGGTGGATGCAGAAGCTTAGGAGTAATTAAGGCAAGATGACACTCAGGCCTGAGCTGGTGCTTATTCACCACTCTGAACTCCACCAGAATTTTGTGAGAACTTTGGTGGGCTGGGTATTGCATTCAGCCTGGAGAATAAAGTCATCTGTGACCTGCAGGTATGGTCACCTGTGAGAGTCACCAGGCCTGGGGTTGGCCACCAGTGAGGCTTGGCATTGAATGAGGCTTAGGTGGACAGAGGAAGGTTGTGACTGCGGAGGGGACATAAGTGCAGCACAGGAGTAGAAGAGGACCATGGGTATCAGAGATCCATGTATGGTTCTGTGTGGTTAAGTCCAAGGGAGAGAACGGAGCCAGGCAGGGAGGCCTTCCCAGAAGGAATTTGGGTGGCCACCACTAGCGGAAAGCATGGTAGGTCTAGGGTAGTACTGGATCCTGTTGAAATTTTCCAAACATACTCTGGATTCTGTCACCCAGTTGTAGTGTGAGTCCTCAGATTAGGGCCCAATATCATGTGCTGCCTTGACATCTGGTGAAAGCTGGAGAGCCTGAAATGGCCAGGGTACATGGTCCTCTCCCCACTCTGCTGCTGCTGCTGCTGCTGCTGAGGTCTCCTCGTCAAACAACTTTTTCATCAGAGGGACCAGGTGCAGTTCCTGGTTAGTCCTCTGTATGGGTTTCAGTTCCTGCCATCCCAGGGAGTTATGAAAAGAAGCCAATCACATCCTCTCACAGGAATCAGGAGGTACTCCACTCTCTTGATCCTATAAAGCTTGCCTCCTACAGCTTCTGATTCTTTAGTCTTTCAGAGTGCAGCCCCCACGTGACCCTGTGTGGGGTGTGCTGTCCTCTCCCAGGCTGCGAATATATGTGATTAATAAACTGCTGTCCATCTCTTCTGTTCAGGTCAGGTGTCACGTGTTTGGCCATCCCCATAATCCTAAGATGGGAATGCCACCCTCAGCAGTGAGGTGAAGAGGAGATGTTTAAAACATAAGTAACATGTGGAAAGGCCAAGGCAATCCCACTGGTGTGGGACAGTGAGGTGGTTGTGACCATAGGCGTGTGGCTGTCTCAAGAATTATGTGTACTTGGAGAAGAAGTATGCCTCATGACCCCAGGGCTTTGTTATTGAGAGTTACATGACCTTGGCCACACCAGCAGAATAGCCTGGCATGATCGGGTAGATCCCTTCATGCCAGGTCCACAAGTTAGACATCCACCTGCCACAAGTCAGACAATCTGTCTGCCTCTTCTTGCTGGTGGCTGGACCCTGTGATGAGTGAGCCCGTGAGGAGACAAGCAGTAGCACCCATGGCACTAGCGCCTGGTTTCTCCTCTGAGTTGGGGAGATTGGGAGGCGGGTGGGCGTGGAATAGATGGATGGGGAAGGGCTTGTGGGTTCTTGGGAGAGGGACTGTTTATGGTTTCATCTGTCTCCATGCCAGGGCAGTGTGACCTTTGAAGATGTGGCCGTGTACTTCTCCTGGGAGGAGTGGAGTCTCCTTGATGAGGCTCAGAGATGCCTGTACCAGGATGTGATGCTGAAGAACTTGGCACTGATAACCTCCCTGGGTAAGGCTCTCACACTCACCCTTGTGTCCTGACCTATGTTCTGCCCTTCTTCTTTCCCCAGGGGAGCTCTTTCCTCACACAGGACCATGGGCACTGCTTTGTCCCTCACTTTCCTGGGTAAGTGCTTGGTTAGTAAGCCTGAGGTGTGCACACTGCCCTCTCCTTCCATGAACAGGCCCAACACAAGCTTCCCTGCTAAGTTGCAGGGAAGGATGGAGGGTCAGGAATCTTGTAGTCACCCTAAAGGATCCCACCTTACTTGCCTTCTCCCTGACTGGGTCACTTTGTCCAGATGCAAGGCACCTCTGCGTCCCAGGTCTACTTCCTTCCCCAAGCTGACATTTCCTCATGCCTGCCTCTACCAGGAATTGCCATCACTGACATATTCAGTACTCACATGGACCCTGGGCTGTTCTTGCAAGACCCTCTTCCGAAGTTCTCTGAGTAATGCTTAGTTTTCTTTCTTTCGGGCTGTCATGTGCTGAGTTGTTCTGGACTAGTGCTGGCTGTTCGTCTGTCCTGTCTTTCCCTCTATACTTGTGTCATCAGGGTGCCGTGTGTTTGCTCATTGAGGGAGTGGGGTTGGGTTGGGGAGCTCACGGTGGTTCTCAGGATGTACATGAATCCAGCCCACAGCAAAATGGCTCAGAAGGAGCCTGGCCCTGCAGAGTAGCCCTGGAAGAGGACATGTATTCACCTCAGACCAGAAACATTCTGTTTGACTAGTATTTTGATGCCATTGCCAGTGGCCACACTCCATTTCTGTCTTTCCTTCCCCTTTCTTGACACTTTGCCCATTTGTTATTTGTGTTGCCTGTCACTTCGTCTTACTTCCGGCCTGGAGTTAATCTCACATCTCTGGACTTCATGTCTCATCCATTATTCTCACCACTCTATCTGCAGTGCTTTCCACATTTGCCATTATGTATTGTGTCATGAGGTGTGCACATATCTTTACACAGTCCTTGAGCACCAACTGCTCTGTTATAGTTGTGTTTTCTTGGGTTTTGCCCTTCTATGCAGTGTTCATGTGTCACCAGCAGACAACTTCCTTTGAAAAGTTGTTTGCAGAGGAATGAATTGTAGACCCTGTCTGTGCTCTCTGATGCCATGCTGATGGTTGTGTCCTTCAGCTCATGAGGCCTCTCCCATTTTGTCCTCTTTATAGCCCAGTACTGCTGAGCAGCCCCATCTTCAACCTGAAGCAACTCCCTGATCTTGCAAACAATCCTGTGGACTGGTTCCTGGGTTTGTTAGACACACACTTGGGCAGTAACTGCCCCTTCCCACCAAAGTCACCAGTCACTTTACCAGCCTTTCTTTCTTTCAGATTGTTGGCATGGAGCAGAAGATGAGGAGACACCAGCTGAGCAGAGCATTTCTGTACAAGGAGTGTCACGGATCAGGACTCCCAAGGCAGGTGTGTCTCCCCAGAATGCCCAGCCTTGTGAAATGTGTGGCCCGGAATTGAGAGACATTTTCCACTTGACTGAGCACCAGGAAACACATTGTTGGCAGAAGCTGTACAGGATGGGGGCATGTGAGAAACAGTTGTATTTCAGTGCAAAACTTCAGCCCCAGAAGCAGCACACTGGAGAGAAGTGCTTCAGAAGCAACATGGGCAGAGCCTCATTTGTGAAGGACTACAAATTCTGTGTGTCAGGGAAGCCCTTTTCCTGTGAGGAGGTTGTGAGGGACATCGTGGCTAGCTCAGGATTTCTCCAGTGTCAGGCCACACACACCAGGGAAAAGTCAAATAGGAGAACTGAATGTGGGGCAGCCTTTCATAAGGGAAACACTCAGTACACCTCTGGAGAACGCACAAAAGACTTTGATTGCAAACACACACTTGTTCAGCACCAGAGAGTCCTCACTAGAGAAAAAAACTACATGTGCAGCGAATGTGGGAAATCTTTTAGCACGAGCTACAGCTTCAGTGACCATTGGAGAGTTCACACTGGGGAAAGGCCTTATGAGTGTGGGGAGTGTGGGAAATCCTTTAGGCAAAGCTCTAGCCTCAGTCAACACCGGAGAGTTCATACAGGAGCAAGGCCTCACGAGTGTGATGAATGTGGAAAATCGTTTAGCAACAAATCCAACCTCATTAAACACAGGAGAATTCACACTGGAGAAAGGCCATATGAGTGTAGTGAATGTGGGAAAACCTTTAGTGAAAGCTCTGCACTCCTTCAACACCAGAGTGTTCACACTGGAGAAAGGCCTTATGAGTGTAGTGAGTGTGGGAAATTCTTTACCTACCACTCCAGTCTCATTAAACACCAGAGAGTTCACTCTGGATCAAGGCCCTATGAGTGCAGTGAATGTGGAAAATCCTTTACTCAAAACTCCAGCCTCATTGAGCACCGTAGGGTTCATAGTGGAGAAAGGCCTTATAAATGCAGTGAATGTGGGAAATCATTTAGCCAAAGCTCTGCGCTTCTTCAGCATCGGAGAGTTCACACTGGAGAAAGGCCTTATGAATGCAGTGAATGTGGGAAGTTCTTTACTTACAGCTCCAGTCTCTTAAAACACCAGAGAGTTCACACTGGATCAAGGCCCTATGAGTGCAGTCAATGTGGGAAATCGTTTACTCAAAGCTCCAGCCTTATTAAACACAGGAGAGTTCACACTGGAGAAAGGCCTTATGAGTGCAGTGAATGTGGGAAATCTTTTAGCGACAGCTCTGGTCTCATTAAACATCGAAGAGTTCATGCTGGATAAAGGCCTGATGAATGCAGTGAATCTGGGAAATTGTTTAGCCACAGCTCCAATTTCAGTAATCACTAGAGTGTTCAAACTGGAGAAAGGCTTTATGAGTATTTGAATGTGGGGAATTTAGCTACAATACCAGGCTCCTAAACACTATAACTTCACATTGGACAAAGGCCCTAATGAGTGTGGCAAATGTGGGAAATCGTTTAAGCCAAGTCTAACTTCATTACACCCCAGAGACTTCACAGTGGAGAAAAGCCTCATAAGTGCAGTGAATGTAAAAAACCTTTCAGCTGAAGGAGTTGCCTCATTGGATGCCGCAAGTTTCAAATGAGAGAACTACCATAAATGTACGGGTATATACTATTTCCTTGTTTAGTGCAACAGCACTGAAGGAGGGCCCTTAGGAAGGTGCCGTTTACCTGTATTGAACCCTCATATATCCAAACGTCCATGTAAATTCCAGGTATGTGGGAGCTGCATTGCACTTTTTAACCTGACCAGGGCCATTGCCAGATTTATGTCACTACCACTTCTGTAGCAGAGGCCGTTTTACCTCTTCCACCTGGTAGGTGCCCACAGTGGGCAACATTCATCCTTCTCAGGGTCTTCAGGGACGTAAAGACAAGTGTTCTCCCCCCCTTGCGGGACAATTCGTGAGTAGCCTGAGCATTTATACTTTGCCCAATTTTTTTCTCCTCTGCTGAGTTAGGGCGTAGACCTTACCCACTTTTGGCCTAGAGGACTCTGTTGGTGATTTGGAAAGATGGACTACATTTTTCAGGATATTATTGGTCTCATGAGACTCTAGTGATGGAATTTTCTAGTTTCCAAATAACCAACCTGAGAATAGTCTGCCTCCCATTGCTCTTGTTTGTCTGATAATAAAGGTCTTATTGTTTCAGCCACCTTTAATCTTGGGAGTTCTGTTTACTGTATGGGATGGTTTGAAATTAACTGGGTTTGCTAAAGTGAAGGGATGAACAGCTTTGGTTGGAATCCCAAACTTTGTGTGCCTAGGGGGTACAGTATGATGGCAGAAAATGCCTCTCTAGCCTCGTTTGCATTGTTGCTCAAAGCCTTCAAGGAAAGACTGCAGGGTTCTGTGGTCCTAATTTGTAACTCGGATGCCGTGATATTTTGTGGGTTCAGAGTTCCTGAAATCTGTAGGGTAACATCACTGTTTTTGAGACTATAAGGGCCAGGGGAATGAGAATTGTTACAGAAACACTGGATTAATAGTGCAGGAGTCTGTCACAGAATAGTGCCTCTCTTTAAAGGTCGTCCACAATGTTTAGTCAGTATGGCTGTGAAGGATAAGCAGCTAGAGAAATTCTCAGGATCTCCAGAACTGTGTATCTTGTGTCAGTGAGGGCCTTGTCAGAGAAAATACTCTAAAGGTTTTGTGGATTCCTGTGGGCTCTCTGGGCTGTTCAGTTAAGGCCATTGCCTCAGAGGCAGGAAAACAAGGGACGAGAGAAGGGAGATCTCTTAGTCCTGCATGTCGTCTTATGACCCAGCCAGTATTCCTGTTGAATGAGGTGAAACAGACTTTGTGGCTCAACTATTTTTGCTGCCACTGAGGCAAGTGCTTCTCTCATGAGGAGAGAGACGATGGAGTCAGGATGGTTACCAAACCTGATTTTCTAAAGGAAATCCAGACTTTTAATTTGAACCATATTGTTAAAGTTTTAGTAAGATAAATGATATGAAGTATACTATTCATATTTAACCTGTGCCATTTGATAATTTTTGACATTCATATAAACCCATGAAACCATCATACAGTCATGATGATAAACCTTTCCATCACCCCCATATTTACCTTGTGACCTTCAGTCTGTTCTCCAGGCAGCCACTGATTTGCTTTTCATTACAATAGATTAGTTTGCATTGTCTAGAATTTTATATGACTGAAATCATAAAGTGTTTAGTCTTTTTTTTTCCCTTGGGTACCCTCATGTGACATTTATTTTGAAATTCATCACTAGTGCTTATATGAGTAGTTCATTCTTATTTTGTAGTTGAAAAGAATTTTCTATCAATGTATCTCTTTATGTATGGGTAGTTTTAATTGTTTCCAGTTTGGGCTATTGCAGATAAAACTCTGCAGAAATTGGATATTGATATGATTCCTTTCTCATGTTAATATCTTAAGTTCAGTACCTGAGTCAGAGTGTAGGTGAATGTATAACTTAAGAAACACCAAATTGTCATCTAAAATGATTGTTCCCTTTTGTGTTCTTGTCAGCAGTATATGAGAGTTCCAGTTCTTCCATATTTTTGCTAAGTAGCTACTGTTACTCTTAAAATTTTGGCCCTTTTAGTGGATGTGTAGCAGTATCTCACTGTGGCTTTAATTGCGTTTCTCTGATGTTTCAAGATGTTTAGCATAGCTAGTATAGAAATATTGTGGCATGGTGGTTGTGTCAAACAGGATGAGGAATCAACAAGCCAAATCTGGATTGTGGCAAATTCTAGTGGACAAATGGTTACCAGCTTCATGAACTGAAGAATTAAAAAGTGGTCAATGGTACATATAGGTTAAAAGATTTGCTGGACACATGTAATAATTGCCTAAGGATAAATTTTGCATTCAGATTGCAGTCAATCTGCTTTAAGGACTACAACTGACAAAATTCAGCACTTACAACAATTTATCATAGTTTTAAATATTTTGACTATGTGTCAAAGTTATTGAAGTTGTATAAGAGCCTTTACATTGTAGAAACATTTTGAAGGCATTATGTGTGGAATGACACGATGTCTGGGATTATAAATAAGATCAACCACTAGTGTGTAGGGAGAGATGAAACAAGAACAACCGTAAATGGATAAATATTGACAAAATAATGATTTCCTAATGCTTTTCCATTTTTGATATGTTTGAAAATAGCCATTACAAAGGGTGGAACATGTCCTATTATGAGTTACTTCATATGGTGAGAAGGATAAATTTAAAAGGGCAGAAGGAAACTTTTAGTTTCAATACTTCAAGCCTGTAAACATCAAAATGTATATTTTAAGTATGAGCAGTTTAAATCAGTCATGTCTGAATTAAGCAGTTTAAAAAACAAATATGCAACACTTACCACTTCGTAATCTTTTTTACTCTTGATTTTAATAGAAAATACTTGTTTGTATGTGTATGTGTAGCCATATTATTCCATTTTATTTGATATGATATACAATATCCTACAAAGGTTCTGAGGGCCATTGGTAGGTGTAAATTGAAAGAAACAGTTATGACTGGCCTGGTGGCGTAGTGGTTAAGTCCTTGCGCTCTGCTTCAGCAGCCTGGGGTTTGCCAGTTCAGATCCCAGGTGTGAACCTACACACCTCTCATCAAGCTATGCTGTGGTGGTGTCCCACATACAAAATAGAGGAAGATTGGCCACAGATATTAGCTCAGGGCCAATCTTCCTCACCACTAGCAAAACAAAAAAAGAAAAACAATATTAACCAAACAAGTTGGAATAGGAAAAAACCTTAGATGTCATGAGGTCCCTTAGCCTTCTTTCACAGGGAAGTCAATCAGGACCCAGGGAGGGGAAGTGACTTCCACAACTAGTTAGTATCAGGATTGGAAGTAACACCCAGGCTTCCTAACTCTCTGTCCAGTGTTTTGTTTGTTTTGCTTTGTTTCATATTTACATTTTTAATTTTTAAAATGTAAACACTTCCCTTTTTTAGCACAGTTTTAGGTTCAGAGCAAAATTAAGATGAAGGTAGAGATTTCCCATATACCTCCTGTCCTCACACATGCATGGCCTCCTCCATTATCACATCCCCCAGCAAAGTAATACATTTGTTAGAGTTGATGAACCTACATTGACACATTGTTGTCACCCAGAGTCCGTAGTTCATATTGGGGTTCTCTCTTGGTGGTGTACATTCTAAGTTTGAACAAATTTATAATGAAATGTATCCACCATTGTATCTCATTGAGTAGTTTCACTGCCTTAAAATCCCTCTGTATTCTGCCTGTTCATCTCTCCCTTGCCCCTGTGTTACTTGGGAACCACCGATCTTTTTACTGTCTCTATAGAATGCCATATGGTTGGAATCATACAGTATGTAGCCTTTTCAGATTGGCTGTTTTCACTTAGTGATATGCACTTAAGGTTCCTCCATGTCTTTTCATGGCTTGATGGCACATTTCTTTTACAACTGAATAATATTCTGTTGTCTGAATGTACCACCATATATCCATTCACCTGAAGACGAGCTCTTGGTTGCTTTCAAGTTTTAGCAATTATGACTAAAGCTGCTGTAAACAGTCGTGTGCAGGCTTTTGTGTGGGCACGTTTTCAGCTCCTTTGGGTAAATACCAAGGAACACAGTTGCTGGATTGTATGGTAAGAGCATGTTTAGTTTTGTAAGAAACTGCCGAAGTATCTTCCAAAGTGCCTGTACTATTCTCCCCAGCGATGAGTAAGAGTTCCTGTTGTTCCCCCTCCTCACTGGCATTTGGTGCTGTCATTTTTCCAGAGCTTGGCCATTCTAATAGGTGTGAAGTGGTATCTTACTGGTGAGGATTTTTGCATCTATGTTTATGACAGATATTGGTCTGAAGTGACCTTTACTTTGTTTGGTTTGTGTGAGTATTAGGGCGATGCTGATTTCTTAGAACCTGTTAGGAAATTATTCCCTCTCCTTCGGTCCTCTGAAAGAGATTGTAAAGAACTGGTATAATTTCTTTCTTAAATGTTTATTAGAATAAACTGGTGAACCCATTGGAGTCTAGTGCGTTCTGGTTTGGAAGGCTGTTAGTTATTGATTTAATTTCTTCTGTTCTTTTATCTCTTTCTTCACTTCTTCCTGTTACTCATAATTTATAGCATTTGTAGTTGTCCCACAGTTCTTGGGTGGCTGTTTTGTTTTTCAGTCTTTGTTTTTTTTCAGTTTGGAGGTTTCTATTGAGATATCGTCAAGTCAGAGTCTTTTCTTAGCTGTGTCCAGTCTACTGAGAAGCCCATCGAAAGCATTCTTCCTTTCTGTTACAGTTTTTGATCCCTAGCATTTCTTTTGGGTGTGTTGTAGAATTTTCTTCTCTGTTTATATTGCCCATTTGTTCTTGTGTGTTGTGTTTATCCAGTAGCGTCCTTGGCATGTCATTCACAATTATTTTAAACTCCTGGCCCTGGCTTGGTTCTGACGCTTGCTCTGTATCTTCGTTTTTTTTTTTTTTTTTTTAAGTTTTATTATGCCTTATTTTTTCTTGGTAGTTAGGCATGATGTACTGGGTAAAAGGAAC